GCGACACGCTATGCCTTGCAAGCGGATGGCGTGTCGCTCCGCTCCGCGGGGCGAGAGACTGGGAACAGCTCGGGACGCTGACGCATGGGACTGGGGACGTGGATAGCATGTCGCGCCCGAGCGCGGTGGGCCAGAACCAGCGGAGCGACACGCTGCGCAAATCAAATCCCTGACCGTGTGTCTTAGCCTCCGCAAAGACAACGAGGAGAGGGTCCGGAGGGGAAGGGGCCCCTAGCTCCTCCGCAGTGCTGCGCCCCCGCAGGCTCTGCCCGGGCCCAGGGACCCGCAGCAAAAACGGGCGTCTGTATGGAAACGCCCCAGGGCCCAAGGTCCAGGACCCCTCCCTCAGGACGCACTCCTTTCCCGTGCGGCAGCCAAAGCGCCCTCCTGGATCCGAGGCGTGCGGAGCGCAAGCATCCGCACGCGCGCGTGGGCAGAACTGCACGCAGTACGCTGAGCCCGTTGAAACAACTGGCGCCGAGCCAAAAACAGCGACGCGAGGCGGTTGCACGCGGCCTTGTTGTCACCACGCCACCATTGTCAGGACTGAGGCTGCTCCTCCTCTTCCTTCTCCTCCTCCCCCTCCTTCATTCCCTCCTCCTCTTCCTGCTGGTCCTTCTCCTCATCGTACTGCAGCGGCCACAACATAGACACTCCTGCTCATTCAGGCACTTCTCATGTTCCAGATCATCTTCCCCAGTCTCCTTCTCAACCTCTTCCCACCCACCCTCCCGCACCCCTTGTGTTCACCGTCCTCATCGTCCCCCTCCTCCTCCTCCGGAAACCTCCGTAGACACATCGGAAGCCCCCCTAAGACCCACAACAAAACTATTTCGCCCGTGTGGGGGAGAACTGCAATCTACAGAGCATATCGATCGTGGGGTGTATCATTCCTTGACTACAACACGTTCAAGCCAGCCGTGGAGTATCAGTCGTAGTCTCCACCACCCCCGGCGGAGCTTTTAGCTGCCCTGAACTTCCTCCCCCACGTCCCTCCACCCTCTCATTCCTCCTTCTATCCCCATGGAATTTCCTTGTAGAGAACTGCTCCCTGTCGCACCCCCAGATTTGTCGCTAAGGCGGGCCAGGCGTTTCGCCTGAGCCTTCCTCACCATATATGCTGAACCTTGACAGTCGCAACACACATTAGGATGGATGGGGGTGTTTGCGATGTGGGGCTGTCTCCTCAGCGCCGCGCGTACTCGCCATGAAAACTTGCAGTCCTTCCACAGATGGAGCATTGGTCGTCATCAGCATGAGGCTCTGGCATTAGGGCCGCGCACATCAGCTGAAACATCTTGCGACAATTACGAGGATGCAGCACAGGTCGTTTTCGATATGGGGATTTCGTCAAAGCGCCGTGCACATTCGTCCTAAACGCTTGCAATAGTTAAGGGTACACGTGTCTTGAAATACTGAAGGGCTCTCGTCCTAGCGCCGGGGAAGTTCTTGCAACCTTTGCAAGGATGGAGAACGCTTCCTTTTCAACATGGGGTTCGCGCCTTGGCCTCTTGAATTGTGGAGGTCGGTTTACTCTCAAACAACTATCGTTTGATACCTCCTTTGCCATCGGAGGCCACCAGCTCTAACTATGTTGCAGCTGCACGGATGGAAGGAGGATGACGTTCGAAATGGAGCTCATGCCTGATATGCCATGACCATGCGTCGAACGTGCAACCGTCTGCAATAGCTCCAGGATGGGGGCGGTCCTTTTCAACGGGAAGGTCATGTATGACCATACGTTCTCGCAGTCCTGACTTCGCGCTGGAAGCATCCAGCACAGCTCTTGTTCTAAACGAAGCGGGACCCTCGCCTGAATGGCAGGCCCAAATTATGCTGGCCTTTGAGCGGAGGCGCTTCTGGTAGTGTAAAGGCAGGCTTGTGAACAAAATGTGAGGAGGGGGCTTGGGACGGGAGTGTGCGCTGCACCTTCGCAAACACATGTTGGGTTTACTCCGGCCTTCCTCCCTCCCATCCTCCCCCACTCCTTCTCCCTGTACCCCCCCCCTCCTCCACTGCTCTTCCCTATGCTCGCCTACCTCCTCCTCCCCCTTGCGGTGGGCGCCGCGACGTGACAATGCAATCGTAAAGTCCGCTTCCCACCTCCCTCCTGATAATGCAATCATGCATTCTGCTCCCCCTCCTGATAATGCAATCAGAAATTCTGTTTCCCCCTCTTGACAATGCAATTCAAACATATATGTTCCCCTCCTGACGATGCAATAAAAATGTATTCTTCCCACCCTCCTGACAATGCAAGCATAAACTCTGCTTCGCCCTCCTGACAACGCAATAACAAAGTATGCCGCCCCTCCTTTTGACAATGCAATGATAAATTCTGCTCCAACCCCCTTCCGACGATGCAACAGGTAATCCATCAACTCCGCGGCCCCTCTTGGGAAGCGTGACTTCGCAATGCCCCACTGCGCCCTGGTTCGCAAGTCTCGCACGCAGCTGCGTCCTCCTCCCCTGCTGCCCGTGCGTCCCCCCGTCCTCCTCCTCCCCCGTCGCCTTCTCACCCCCCCTCCTCCTCTTTTTCTTCGTCGTCGTCGTCCTCCTCCATGTCCTCGTCCTCCTCCTACTGTTTCTCCTCCTCCTCTTCTTCCTCTTCCCCTCCCTTTTCTCCTCCTCGTCCTCCTCCTTCTCTTCATCCTTTTCCCCTCTCCTCCTCTTCCCCCTCCTCCTTCTATTCGTATTATTAATTCTCCTGCGCCACAAACTGAAGCGAACCGACGAGTTTACTCCCCGCGCCTTAAAAGGAGGGGGTCCAGCGGGAGACACCTCCCCTGACCCCAAGTCCCTCCTCTTCCGTGGTTCTTCACGGGACCCCGCTTCGCGGGAAACAACAAACAACGAACGTCTGGCCAACCGTATACGAAAAGCACTCGACCCCGTCTCCTGGCTACAACGGCAGACGAACCCGACGGCAGTCGTCGGCCCAGCAGTCGACAGATGGGAGAAGGTGGAGCCCCTTCAGGTCATTTCGGAGTCTGGCCAGAATGCAACCTTTTGGGCATTTCTACAACATTAAGCTTCTTCAGTGTGAGTCGTCATTCTTTGTTGAGGCTCTTCTCACAAGGCTCAGACAATTCCATAAACCTCTTGGCCTATGGCCGCATACATCCTACATAACCAAAATCCACGAGAAATTGCCCAACGTGTGAGAGCTATGGACTTGGAAGGGTCGCTTCTCGCACTCCTGCTGGCAAACAAATATTAAACCCGCCTTGGAGATGACCCGGAGGCAAGCTCGACATTTGAAGCCCTTGGGAGCTTCCTTCAGAGAGTGCGAAGTGGTTCGTGCCGCTGCAACTCGCTTTTCAGCCAAGGCCTTGGAATGCAACTTCGTTCTGGCTGCAACGTCTCACTTCAAGGTCAGCCTCTCGCACTTGAAAGACTAGGGAGTAGGGCGGCCCAGCTTCCTCGGCGAATTGCCAGCCAGCTGTCTGCAGCGGCATTGGCCGCCCAACCGGCGGTCGAGATGCTGCGGCCCACTTCGTGTTCCGAAAGATGGCCCTTCACCTTGCGGAACACCACATTTCCTTGATGAGCATCTTGGGCCGCCCAAAATTCTCGCCCCCAATCTGAGTTGGAAGAGTGGGTGGCGTTTCTGCCATTGTGGGTCCCTCGGGTAACGCAGCTGGCATCCACAACCACCGTGGCGTCACCTTGGGTCTTTTGCGCAAATCTAACACAAGCTTCTGTCTGCCTCGGGCCTGCAATGCTTCCCCGCAAAGATGTTTCCATCTCTCCTCTGACGTAGACGGCGAAAGACCATCCAACCCTTCTCAAGCGAGCATCCCTCGAGCGTTCCCCTCCAGAGCCACCTGTGCCTGCAGTGACCTCTGGCGGGAGCTGCAATTCGCCTTCGGTGGGCCAGTCTCCTTCAAAAACCGTTTCTTCGGTAGGGGGCGGGATGTCCGCCCCAGCCATGGTCCATGACGTGCGGACCAGGCCTCGTGACCAGAAACACGGGTAGGTTTCGGCTCCCACCCTGACCTGAGCACAGAGGGCGCCATCTACTTCCAGCTCTGGAATGTCGGCGCTGGCTGGGCATTCCCAGAATTGACGATACATCGATTCTTCTGCTACTTTACATCTTGGGCAAACCGGGGAACCTCATCGAGCATTCTCAAACCGTCGCTGCGAAGGCCCCAAGGCCCCCTGGCTGACCATCTGTAGAACAGCAGCTAAATGTATAAACCGTTCCTTCGCAAGCTTTTCAAGCGGGCGCAATTCACAATCAAATCAACCCCAAACTCGGCTCCAGCCCCCTCAACGCGATTACTCGCTTGGGCCCACAAGCTCTGCCCCAGGGAGAACGCCACTGCGTAGTTCGGCAGGCCTGGCTCATTGGGACCTTCAAAATTGAGTTTCTCCCCGCACGAAATGGTCCATTCCCCTGGCGAAGTGGGTGTCCACCTCATGTCTAAGAGGATTGCCTGGACTGCAGCCAGGTGCCCACGCACGCGTTGCCAACGGTTCTCTACGGTCAGCAACTTCAAATGGTTTCCCCCCCAAGCGTGGTCGATGGCATCGCGCCGCTCGGAAGTCCTAGGCGGTGTTCCTGCCAGGCTAAAAATAAAACTCAAGTGGCCCCCAAATCATGTGATCGCTTTTCTTGCCTAAACTAATCCAAATGGCGGTTGTCGCACAACCTCCAGTCCATGTGCTACCACAGATAGAGGAAACCTGGGCTCGGAGCTTATTTATAATAAATGTCAAAGTGGGCGCAAGACTCATGGCAACGGACCCCCAGGCAACTTGAGGCTTGTGCCTCGTTAAACTGAGCTTCTTAGCCCCTTTGTCGAGCCGCCCGAGAAACCGAGTCAGTTTGGCTCTCTGAGAGCCTTTATTCTTAACAACCATTACGTCCTCGCACCACTGCTGACGTCGATGCCAAGATCTCGCGCTCTGACCTCCACCCGGGCTGGCAGGTGTAGCTCCGCGACTCGTTTCCGCGGCGCTGCACGTAGCTCCGGGGGGGGGGGGGGGGCGACCGACTTCTTGGAGATGCGGAAACGCTTGCTCTGCATGCTGCTGACCAGGTTTGCAGCCGCCGCTAGGCCCAGCTCGGGCACCACATTGTGACTGCCGGTGTTGAGTGAGCCAAGTCAACCACCCAGCTGCCAATCTGATTATGTGGAGGAGGAAAACGGTGCGGATGTCGTCCAGCAAGTCTCATTGTTACATCCTCGGCCAAGCTAGACTCTGCATGCAGCCAGCGATGATGGAGTTAGTTGGCAGGGTGCTGTCAGACAGGATGCGACTCACTGCAAGCCATCGATCTGCTAGGTGCTGAAGCAGCGCTGAATAGAAAGGCTCCGAAGGATATTGCAACGATTGAGCTAAGCCTGCTAGCGCGGCTGGTTGGATGAGATCGCGCAACTTTTCGGCGCCCGAGAGGAACTGGGCTCTGACGGTGCCCAAGAGGCCGCAACTTTCAACTTTCAAGCGTCGCAAGACTGCCGCCCTCAAGGGGCTGCTTCCTTTGACCGCCGAATCCCAGAAACCCGCTCTTTCTCTCTCCCAGGTCGTGACTTGCTGCTGCTTCCTGGGGGTGCTCCGCAGACGGTGAGGCCCTGGCGTAAGAGCGATGGGCCCATCTCCTCCTGGGCGTGCGTGTGTGTGTGTGTGTGTATGTGTGTGTGTGTGTGTGTGTGTGTGTGCGTGTGTGTCTGTGTGTGTGTGCGCGTGTGTGTGTGTGTGTGTGTGTGTGCGTGTGTGTTGTGTGTGTGTGTGTGTGTGTGTGTGTGTGTGTGTGTGTGTGTGTGGGGGGGGGGGTTCGGGGTCATTGCAACAATATTGGCCAAGGCTCGTTGAGGCCGCGCTAGCTGTTCCTCTCCCCCCCGTAGTGCAACAGGGAGCTTTCGGCGGCCTTCAGGAGGTTGTGTTAACCATTCTCTCGGGTTCCACGGGCCCGCCCCCCCCCCCCCAGCCCCGCATGGGCCGCGAAGCATCTCGCCCCCTGGGCCATCTTCTCGAGGGTCAGCTCCGGGAGGAGGTTGTCGAGCTGCCCCCCCTGGTTCGTCGCCTAACTTGCCGCGGCCAGTCAGGGGAGTGGTCCTTCTGAGCGCCTACGGGGGCATTCCAGAGCGAGGCCCGCCGCTGGGCCTCGATGTCCACGATCTGCATGGGCTCGCCGACTTCGAGCCCATCAATGTCGACTTCCACTCCCAGGGGGGGGCTCGGGTTGTTCCCAGGCCCTGCTAAACCGACGGGCCCAACCAGCCCCTTTGGCGAGGCTCTACGGGGGGAACTTTTGAAACCCAGCGCTCCCCTCATTTATGGCAGCGAAGCTAACTTTGGCCAGGGCCTCCTTGGCCTTGCTTGAGAGGTCCCTGGCTTTCACTGGATCTGCGGGCAGCTCAGCGAGTCCTGCCCGCAGCTCTGCACCTGCGGATCGCACTGCCGCTGGAGCGTCTGCCAAGGCCGTGGTTGACTGCGGGTCCTGTGCCCGCGCTTGCAGCCGTTTGCAGATGACCCTCTCCTGGCCCCCCTTCATCTCCCCCTTATCCCGCTCCTTCTCATTGCCCCTCCTGCCGAGCACGAAAAGCTCCTGGGCCCTGGACCCGACCCCCCCACCACCACCACCACCACCACCACCACCACCACCACGCGCGCACACAAGCAAGCAAACATCTCTCAAGGGCTCAAATTGTCCAGGAGGTCGACTCGCCGGAAGATCGGAATCCTTGAACTTTGACCCGGGGGCAATCTCCTCGACGAAATATCCCAACCTCCTCCCCGCACTGCTCAAGAGAAAAGCTTCTGCTCGCCGCGCAAAAACTTGCGCGCTGGTGACTCAAGCCGGCGCTGGTGGCCTCTGGCCAGACCGAGTAGTCTATCGGCGCCGTGGCCTCTACGTCTGCCTCGAAAGATGCGCATGGTGGCTCTGGCCCATAGGGCGGGAGACTAGGGGCCGGCCTGACCATCGCACTCGCAGTCATATTGTCGGCACTGCAGTGAAAGCTCCTCGGGCACCAATATGAGGTGACCCGGGCCCCTTCTCATCGAGATCAAATATGTCCAGGGTTGACAATTCCTCTGGACCAACTCCAAAAACTAGAATCCCGCCATTGCCGCTCGTGATCGCGATGGCCCCTGGTGATTTGTGAGTCGTGCCCCTGGCGAAGGTGACCCAACCTGCCTGCCCGAGGTCTTCTGGTGTCATATTCCAATCTCCCGTGATCACGATATGCTTAGTATTGGTTCTGAGGTATCCTGCCTACTCCGCCAAGACGCATCCACTTGCGCCGTGGGCCCCTTCGCCATCATTGAGATATACAGCAACGCAAGTGATGTCCATGTTGTGCTGCCTGATAGTTCTGGCAACCCATTGTGTTCCGAAAAATTGAGGCTCACCATGTATATACTGCTTGCACGGGTACATAACACGAGAGCTGACGCAGGAACGGCACGTCACCCATACTCCTGCGTGCCCCAATTGTCCTTCCAGCGCTGTAGGTATAGCAGGGCTGGCCGTGCACTTCCATCCCAACTTGCTGAGTTCCTTCTGTGCATCAAGAAGCCGTCCGTCCCTGAGGTGTCTACATTTCCATGTGTATCTGAATGTTCTGCATGTGCTCTACTGGATGTAGCGCAAGGCCGCATCTGTCCATTTCGTAGAAAATTGCCCCATAAAAAGTTAAACTCTGGTTCTGGCCCATCGATGTGTCATCTGGATCCGTTGCCACCATACGCTCGCTGTTCTTACCCTCATGGAGATTCGTCTTCTTGAGAAGGGGCCCGAAGCTGTCCATCCCCTTCTGGTGGTTGTTCGTCTGCTGCTTGTTACCCTCGTGCTGGTACTGCTGCTGCTGTAGTCGCTGGCACCCGCTCTCGGCTGGCTGCCACGGCTTGCTCAATCTCCTCAGGGGCGGCCTCGATCTTGTCATCTGCTGCAGCTGGTTGAGGGGGCCGTGCTTCTGATGCGTCGCCTGCTGGCGCAAGTGCATCTCTGGGTTCAGGCGGGTCGCTGCGCCCATCAAGCACTCACTGTCCCGCCCTTGGTCCCGTGCGCCTGCGCTTCGTGGCCAACTTCGCTTTACACTCTGCCATGACTCGCCTCCGGTCCGCCAGGTCGTTCGCCGACGGGCCGATTGCTTGACCAATGATCTTGCATATTTCCTTGAAGAGGTTTTGCTTGTGCTGCTGCCATTGTTCGATCTCCTCGTTGCTGAAGTCGTAATCTTCCAGCCTGAAGTGTTCCCCATCATCGAAGGCGATGAAGTTCTCGATGTCCGATTCCTCCTGGGTGGGGAGGAGGCTGGAAAAGTTGATCTTCGCAACGTTCGCGTTCTCGGCGTCCCGCGCCTTGCTGTCTTTGATGTGCTGCTTGAGTAGCCGTTGGTGGTGTTGCTCTGCTTCGACCGCCGCCTTCGCATGTTTGATGTCTCCGTACGGGCCTGATGTAGCCACTCCTGGCAGATCTGTTCCTGTTTGACCGCGTAGTCCATGGCCTTCTTGGCCTTTCCCGATTGTACCCCTGCGTGGTGCAGTGCTTGTTCTGCTTCGATGTCGGGCCGAACCTGGTTCGTTTTTTCGTATCCCCTCGACTCCTCGAGTGTCTTGGCCAAGACTTGCAACTGCTTTGTGCTTTCGGAGTTGTCGGAGGTCGGCAGTCGCTGCGTCAGAGCCTTGAGAAGGTCGTCTGTGGAGGTCGCGAAAGGGGAGTCGCTGTCGAGGATCGGTTTAGCTGGCCCCTGTTCTGCGACTCCGTGCTGGGCAGGGGATGCCACGCGCTGTTCTGGCTGCTGCCAAAGTCCGCCAGAGGGGGCCCTGGCTCCACTCTTCGCGAACATCAAGCTCATGTCGCCAAGGTGCTGGCTTGAGCCAGTGGCGACATTTCCAGCAACCAGTGTGGGTGCGCCAATTCCACTGGTGGCGACAAGAAGGATGAAGGCACGCCACATCGCCCTTTTTGCCGGCTGGCCATCGAGGCGCCGAGTGAGTGTCCCAGCGTGACTGGAATGCTCCTGGAGGAACTCACCAATAATGTGTCCCTGTGGCCACTCTTGGCCGTGGGTTCGCTGGTGGGGCCGTACCTCCCCAACGCCAGAAGGCCAAGTCCTGGGCCGAAGCGCTACGGACTTGAGCCAAAGTGGTTACGGTATTATGATTTCGCCTCCTCCTCCTCCTCTTCTTTTTCCTCCTCCTCCCCCTCCTCTTGTCCTCTCCCTCCTCCTCCTCCTCTTGTGCCTGTGTCCTGTTCCTCGTCCTCGTTTTCCTCCTTCCCTCTCCTCTTCCTGCTCCTCCTCCTGCTGCTCCTCCTCCTACTCCTCCGCCTCCCCTTCCTCGTCCTCCTCCTCCTCCTCTTCCTCCTCTTCATCCTGCCTCCTTTCCTTCCTTCTCCTCCTCCTCCTCTTTCTCCTGTTCCTCGTCGTCGTCCTCGTTCTTCCCTCCATCCGTTTCCTCCTCCTCCACCTCCTCTTCCTCCTCGACCCCGTGTGTTCCTCGCCTCCCGCCGCCACGGTCGAGTTGGCCTGTTGCCTGACTGCGGTGAAGGGTTCGAGGCGATCTCGGGAGAGGCGTGGGTCGGCTGGGTGAAGTTGCACACGAGCCACTGCCTGGCCAGGATGAAGGTTTTCGGCTTGACGTTCTGCCAGCACTGTGGCTTCACAGCCACGACGGACGATCGTTGGCTCCGAGATGCGCGCACCCCCCCACTCGTAAAGGGGGGGGAACATCTCAAGAGAATTCGGAGAGGCCCCTTCCCGTCGCATCGCGGCCCATCTGCGGCCCTGGCGTCGGCTGTGGCGCTGGATGCTTTTGAAGCCTCCTCCCACCCGCCCTTGATGCAGGAAGGAACTGTGCAGGGCGGGGATGCGCTCGGGAGGCCGCTAATGATCGCTAGTTAGTGAGTACGAGGCGATCTCCTCGGTTCCCTAAGCCAGAACGCTGGAGGCGGCGATGCCGCTCGGCCCCGCCCCTCCGGCGGCGGCGGACGGCGGCGAGAGGGGCAGGCAGGGCGGGCGGGCTGGAGGTGGAAAAAGGGGCACGAGGCGCCACCCCAGGGGCCGCCCGCCCTGGTGAGGATCGCACGCGCGCTTCTCAGCGGAGTCCAGCAGAGTCCTCCTGCTCCTCCTCCTCCTCCTCCTTTTCCTCCTCCTCCTCTAACTCCTCCTCCTCCTCCTCCTCCTCCTCCTCCTCCTCCTCCTCCTCCTCCTCCTCCTCCTCCTCCTCCTCCTCCTCCTCCTCCTCCTCCTCCTCCTCCTTTTCCTCCTCCTCCTCCTCCTCCTCCTCCCAGCCCCCCTTTCCCTCAATACCCCCCCGTCCCCCGCGTCCCTTTTCCTCGCCGCCCCCCCCCGCGGGCGACGCCCGCCGCGACAGTCCTCCGGCGAAGGCTGGCCTGCCGACGCCTGAGCCGCGCGGGCCTTCGAGGCCCGGCGACGCGCTGCTGCCGCCGCCACCGCCGTGACGGTCGCCATGGTCGCCGTCACCGTCGCCGCCGCGGTCGCCGTCGTCGTGGTCGCCGTCGTTGTCGCCAGCGTGCCCGCCGCCGGCGTCGTCGGTGGCGCTGTCGCCGCCGTCGCCGTCATCGGCAGCCGCGGCGTGCAAGGCGGGGAGCGGGGGGTGGAAACGGTCGCATGGGGAATGAGAGGGAGGAATGGATGCAAAAGGGGGGCAGAGGGGGGGACAGAAAAAAGGGGGCCCGGAAGGGAGTAGACTCTACTCCCTTCCGGGAGCCGAGGAGGGAAGGAGGGGGCGGCAGCATTTGTTTTGTGACTTGCGTGTTCTCTTCTGGGGCCCCTCCCTGGGTAGCAAGAGGCCCCATTCACCATCCGCAATGAGAGAACGGAGAGGGGAAGAGGGGGAAGGGAGGGCATAAGGAGTGAGGAAAGAAGGATGGCGGAAGGAGGATGCGGAGAGAAGAGCGTCCATGTTGTCCAGCACGTGTGTTTGACATGGTACGTGGATGTCTGGGGGGGTGCAGCTCTCTCGAATGACGGCAAAGTTCGCGCCCTGCCAAGTGTCTCGGGATGCGCGGGTTCTCTTGGCAGCCAGGTTGGCGCGACTCGTCAGGGAGGACAAGCGCGTCATTTCGGATCACTCGCGCGTTGCACCTTGGCTTCGCGCTTGTCCAGCGAACGGATAGGCAATCGTGCACTCGCCCGCGCATGGCCCCGAACAATCGTCAAATCCAGGGGTCCTCTCGCGCAACGCGCGCTGACGAGGCGAACTGCGCAGAGCGCGCATGTGAGGCGGCACGCTCCTAGAGCGCGCCAGTGCCCATGGACATCCGAGCCAAAAACTTCACGTCTGGGTCCCAGAAGCCGCGCCCGTGAATTTCGCGGGGGCTGCGCGCACGTTGCACGCGCAACGCTGCGCGATCGCAGCGGGAGCCGTCAGCTGAACGTCCGCCCCGAACGTTAAGGGAGGCCTGCCGCTGGCCCATGTAGTCGATTCGCCCTGGGCCTAGGTAGCCAGCTCGTCTCTGGCCCAAGCAAGAGGCCCTTCGCTGGCTCAAGTGAAAAGCTCGCTGCTGTCGCAAATGAACTGGGCGCCGCTGGCCGTAGGCATGGAGCCCGCCGCTGGCTCGGGCCCGCGGCCCGCCGCTGGTCCCAGCAGAAATCCCGCCGCTGGCCCGACTGGGAAAGCTTGCCGCCGCCCCAGCGAGGAGAGCTTGCCGCTGGCCTGGGCAGGAAGCTCGCCGGCGGTCCAAACACAAACAGGATCCTCGCTGTTGGCCCAGATAGAAAGCTCGATGGCTGCAGCCCCAGTGGGGAGACTCACCGCTGGGCCCGGAGAGAAGACACTCGCCAGGGGGCGCTGCAGGTAAACGTCACGGCGCTGGCCCAAGCACAGGGCAAGATCTCGCCGCCGCCTCAGGCAGGCAGCTCGCCGCTGTCCAGGGCAGGGAGCTCGCCGCTGGCCCAAGCACAGAGCTCGCCAGCGTCAGGGCAAGGCCGGCAATGGCCGTCGTCGAGGCCTCCGCCGCGCATGCCTTCAAGGACGATTTCTGAGGGCGCCGGCGCGCGGATTGCGGAGAGCTCGAGGATGGCTCGCTCGCCGCGGGCCTCGGCAGAAAGCCCGCCGCTGGCCCGGGCGGCGCCAGCGGGGGTCCGCGGTCGGAGGCTGCAGCGCGGCCTGCGGCGCGGCCTGCGGCGTGGCGGCCATGCTCCCAGGGGGGGGGGTCAGGGCAAGCAGCGGCGGCGCCCAGACGGGGCGTGGACTGGCGGCGAAGCCAGACCCTCTCGCGTCGTGAAGAACTCAAGGCGGGAGGGGTCGAGCAATCTCCGGCCCCTTGGGTCACAAATCCGCCGATCCGGCGTGTGAGTTTCAAGGAGTCTCAGCTACAGCCTCGAGGCTGAGCCTCTGGGGGTTGCCGGGGTGGCTCTGCTGGGGAAAGGGGGGTGGGGGGGGGGGGGGGGGGCGAGTTTCCGGCGGATGCGTTTATTGATACCCCTCACAAGGATCGTGGCCTCCGAGGGGGTTCCGAACTCGAGTACCACCCCTCCCGCACCAAGAGGCTCCGAGGAGGCCTCCAAGAGGCCCCAAGGGGCGCAGAAGAGGCCCCCAAGAAGCCCCAAGAGGCTCCCAAGAGACCCCCAAGAGGCCCTCTAGTGGCCCCAAGAGGCCCAAGAGGCCCCCAAGAAGCCCCAAGAGGCGCCCAAGAGGCCCCCAGAAGTCCCAGCCAACCACGAGATCCCAACCAGCATCCATGAGGCCTCTGACCCACCACCCACGCACGGTGGCGGGATAGGCCGACGGCCACTGGATCCGCCGCCCCCTGCTTGCAGGGGTGCACGGCGTGCTGGATGAGCTGTTCAGGTTTTGGTTTTGGTTCTTTTTCCAAAAGAACTCCCCAGTGGGCTCCGGCCGTCCCGCCGGGGTCCCGGGAGGAAGCCGAAAACACCTCAATCCGGAAACAAATCCTCCAAAAACGGCCGTTTCGCTCGGGACATCCTCAAAAAATCGCGAAGATGGCCCAAGATGGCCTCCAAGTCCGCCCGAGATGGTCCAAGACGGCCTCCAAAACGGCCCAAGAGAGTCCAAGACGGCCCAAGACGGCCCAAGAGGCCCCCCAGAGGCCTCCCAGACGGCCCAAGAGGCCTCCAAGAGGTCCTCCAGGAGAGTCCGAAGAGGCCAAAATCATTGATTTTCCGTTGGTTTTTGAAGGATTTTGGCATTTGCGCCTTTTCGGCTCTCCGACGGCTCAAGACGGCCCAAGAAGCCCCCAAGATCGCCCAAGAGGCCCCCAAGAGAGCCCCCTGATGGCCCAAGTGGCCTCCAAGATGGCCCCTAGAGGGCCCCAAGACGGCCCAAGAGGCCTCCAACACGCCCAAGATGGCCTCCAAGACGCCCAAGATGGCCTCCAAGACGGCCCTGGAGCGCCCCAAGAGGGTCCCCCGTTGGCCCAGAAAGGCCCCAAAACGGCTCCCGACGGCGTCAGACGTGCCAGGAACCCACCAAGATGGCCGAAGTTGGCTCGAAGCTGGCCCAAAAGGGCCCAAGAGGCCCCCAAGAGGGCCTCCAGGAAGGCCAAAAGATGCCAAAATCACTGATTTTCCCAAGGTTTTTGCTGGATTTGGGCATTTCCCTTTTTTCGGCCTTCCGACGGCCCGAGACGGCCCAAGAGCCCCCAAAGATCGCCGAAAGATCGCCCAAGAGGCCTCCAAGACGGCGACGACGACCATCAAGACGCCCACGTGTTCCCCGAAGGTTTTCCAAACCGATTCGGGGAACACATGGTCCGATGGCTTGGCAGGTCTGGCCTCAACGTTCGGCCACATAGGCGCTTCCACAAAGGCAGGGGGCGGCGGTGATTCGCCGTAGGCGTCTTCGATAAATGCTGAGTGAGAGGAGGGGA